GAAAGGAGCCGAGGGTGTTCAGCCCCGGGCAGGGAGCCGGTGTGCTCTGCTTTCTGCACAGCAGTCCTTCAGATGTGACTGTCCCGTGTCCCCTGAACTTTTCAGGAAACACAACAGTCCTTCCAGTGCTTATTGTCTTTGCTGGGAAAAGCCCTGTGGACCAATGGCCAGGAACTGAAGCTCAATCCAGACAAGACGGAGGTCCTGTTGGTGGGTGGATCAGACCTTGGGATGGGGGACTTGGGCCTTGTCCTAAATGGGGTTGCACTCCCTCTGAGGGACAGGGTTCGCAGCTTAGGAGTGCTCCTCGACCCTGAGCTGTCTTTGGAAGCTCAGGTGATGGCGGTGGTGAGGAGCGCTTTCCTTCAGCTTCAGCTGATCCATCAGCTGTGTCCCTTCCTAGAGCATGACTGCCTGGCGACAGTGACACATGCGCTGGTAACTTCCCGATTAGATTTCTGTAACGCGCTCTACGTGGGGCTACCTTTGAAGACGGTCCGGATACTTCAGTTGGTGCAGAATAGAGCTGCCAGGTTGCTGACGGGGACTGGGCATTGTTCTCATATAACCCCAGTTCTCTGTCAGCTCCACTGGCTCCCGATTGAAGTGCGGGCCCAATTCAAGGTGTTGGTGATGACCTATAAAGCCCTAAATGGCTTGGGACCTGGTATCTAAAGGAACGCTTGCACCCATATATGCCCTCTCGCCCCTTGAGGTCAGCAGCAGATGCCCTCCTCCGGGAACCCTGTGTGAATGAGATTAGGAGGGTGAGCACCCGGAGGAGGGCTTTCTCTGCGGTGGCACCCCATTTACGGAATGCGCTCCCCAGAGAGGTCCGCCTGGCGCCATCGTTATTTGTTTTTCGGCGCCAGGCTAAGACCTTTTTATTTAAAACTTATTTTAACTGTTAATTATTTATTAACTGGGTTTTTTTTTTAAGCCGAGAATGCACTGAGGGGGTGTTATTTATTGCATTACTTATTGTATAATTTTAGTATTTATGTGTTGTGAGCCGCCCCGAGGCTTTGTTGCGATGGGGCGGCATAGAAATGTTTTAAATAAACAACACTGGGCTTAATGGGACAGTGGCTGCATGTTCCAGTCTGCATCAGGGCTGAATCCCATCACTAGTAGGTGGAAACTCATATAACAGGCTCTGTGCATTTTTAAAAACAAAAACCCCTGCACCAAGAAAGCTAGCACATCAAGAGCAAGGCCAGACTCCCAGATGTGCTAGCTTTCTACAGGAGGGGAGGGGGTTCGTGTGTGTGTTTCATGACTGCCAAGAAGGCTTTAACCAGGAAGCCCCTCGCATTTAAGCCTTGTCATTTGGAGAATGTTTGTATCGATCACCCTTATAAGTGAGAAGTGAGCAGGACCATCCACCTCAAGCTTTCCGACATGCAAACAGAACAGCTACCCAAACACCCTGAGTCAACACCGTTTGGTGGCTTTTACCAGACAGTGCAAAACATAGCTGCAACTCCTCTCTGAAGCTGAAGGAAGTCGCACTGCACTCTGCTCTTGATCGCGGAGGCGTCCGAGCTGCGCCGGCTGTGTGGACGGGTGCCTGGCTCTGGGAGCAGAGCAGTCCAGCTTCTGTGAAGGGAGGGGGCACAGGCAGGCAGGCTGGGGGCTGCAGGTGGGGAAGAGACCCAGAGGGCGGTTTGCCCCCATCAGAGACAGTCTCACCTGGACAGCAGGTTGGACAGGTGTCCCACTTACCTTGCCACACTCTCCCTGCTCTGTGGGATGTATTTACTTCTGTTTAAAGTATACTGGGTTTCTTGTAAATATCCACACAGGAGCACACGTATTAACATATCAAAATAGTATGCAAACACCTGTCCCTCCCCCATGTGGAGTTGCATTCCCTCTTTAAATTAAATTAAAACCTGGGTTCCCCACGGCTTTTACAGAGGCCTCCTGCTTCTTACACAACTCACACGTGCCCACCTGGTGCCTTCCAGACATCATTCTACAGCACCTGTCATCCACAGACATCATAGCCACTTTTCCTCCGCAAGAGCTGAAATGCAAAGATATACTGCCCCTGGGCATGGAGGCTCCACGTAGCTTTCATGGGATCCTGGCAGACTTTCAAGCAGGAGAGATCAGCGTCAAACCCTTGGCCTATGACTCACCTGGGACTTTATTGCATGACGGCATGAATATGGCTCTTACCTAGTTTTAATGGGCACCCGTAGTTTGATTTTTGGGGTCTTTTCATAGTTTTGTGTCTTAAATTTTAAAACACCCCTGGGAAGGTTTCCCCCTAAAATGCGAGTTTCACATCTTCTCGGTCCTTCCTGCTGTGGGAGGAATTCTCCAACTGTTGCACTCTGGGCTTTTGTCCGCTTTCCTTGGCACCCCAGAGGTGGCAGCCGTCCAGAGCGGGGCGAGCGATCCCTGCACCTGCCTCTAACGTCAGCTGGTTTTTGCCTCGGCTGCAGCTGGCCTCCGAGGATTGCCAAGGCTTCTGAGATATTCATTAGCCTGGGCAACCCGCACAGCCATCCATCACAGGTAAGACCCAGGGCTGTCAAAAAGCGAGCAGATACGAGCCGCCTTCCAGGCCCCGGATCTAACATGTGGGTGGGAGAAGCTGGCACACACCAAGAGGGACACGAGGAATAGCAGCAGCCAAGCAGATCCTTCCCGATTCTGAGCCACTGAACTGTTGTCCCGATTCTGACAACTGAACCGATTCTGTTCCGCCCCCTTGATGGGGCTTGAAGTCTGGGGGGCAGGTGGATCCAACTACCGTTGTTACAGCTAAGCAGCCCCACAAGTGCAGGGGCCAGTCAAGGAGCTTCAGTCTACCCCACTTGGGAGCAAAGAGCGGACCGGATTCCAGCACAGGTTCTTTCGAACACGGCTGCGCCATCGTTCCAAGCAGGTGCCGGGCGAGTCCTTTTTGTGCCGGGCTCCGAGTGCTGCATTTGGGGGTCTGCCCAAGCCCTGCACTAAACGGGGCCCCTTCTGGCCGAAATTCAGCTCATCCAAGCCTGCTTGACAACCCTGCTTTGTTGTTGTGAGTCGTGAAGTTGTGTCCGACCCATCGCGACCCCAAGGACAACATTCCTCCAGGCCGTCCTGTCCTCCACCGTCCCCCCGCAGTCCACCTAAGCTGATGCCAACTGCTTCAGTGACTCCATCCAGCCACCTCATCCTCTGCCGTCCCCTTCTTCTTTCCCCATCTATTGTTCCCAGCATTAGGCTCTTCTCCAGGGAGTCCTTGCCTCTCATGACGTGGCCAAAGTATTTGAGTTTCAGCTTCAGGATCTGGCCTTCTAAAGAGCAGTCAGGGTTGATCTCCTCTAGGACTGCCCAGTGTGATCGCCTTGCGGTCCAAGGGACTCGCAGGAGTCTCGTCCAGCAGCACAATGCAAAGGCCTCAACCCTCTGGCGCTCAGCCTTCCTTATGCTCCAGCTTTCACAGCAACCCTGCTTTAAGCATGCCTTTAATTCCCTTATGGGCATCAGAGGTTCCAAGACATTTGCTGGATTGTGTTTTGTGTTTGCAAGATAAAGGCAGGCATCAGAGCAAAGGCAGGGTTTCCTTCTGAGTTTCTTCAGCCTCTCCTGACAAAATCCCATCCCATATTATTCTGGCCCTTGCTGTGGAAAGAGCGGTTTCTCTCCCTGCCTGCCCTATCCTACGCCTGAATCGTTGTCTCTGCTGCCCTCGTGTGGCAGCCCTGAGCTATTTCCCCCACTCCTATTTAGGGTCAAAATAAGCATTTGCTAAAGAAATGGGATTGTTCAACCATTTCTGCCTTTCAAACCACACTCAGCCTGCAGGGCTCCAGTCTGAATCTGAGCATGGATTTCAGGGAGACTCTGAATGCTGCCCCCTCAACACCCCCACCCCAGATTTTCACCATCAAAATCAGGGTTCCCCAACCTGGCTCCCTCCAGTTGGTTTTGGACCACAACTCCCTGCACTCCTGTCCACTACCCACTGGCTGGGGCTGATGGGTGTTGAAGTCCGAAAGGGTGATCTACAGCACCCCCCCCCCCCAGCAACATTTTAATTAGTCCCACAGGAAGGGAAAACACACATTCTAAGTAAGTGTTAAAAACACACTCTGGAGTTCACAGCTGCTGTTCCGCCTCCCCTCTGGGCTGGAGCAGGAGGGGAAAAGCGAGGGATGGCAGGGAAGAGCAGTGCCCGCGAGGCCCACACCGGCCTGCCTGTTCCTTCCGGGTGGCAGCAGCAAGCAAGCGGGCAATCGCAGGGGGCAGGAAGGCGTGCCACAAGGCCTCCCGACAGAGGCAGTGTGGTGTAGTGGTCAGTGCTGGGCCAGGACTCGAGAGACCGGGGTTCTAGTCCTTACTCAGCCAGAAAGCTCGCTGGGTGACTTTGGGTTGGTCACCTTCCAGCCAACCACCCGTGGTTGTTTTGAGGTAAAACGGAGAGCTGGGCAAACGCCCTTTGGTTTCTTGCAAGAGGAAAGATGTGGAAATAATAGTAGTAGTAGTAGTAGTAGTAAAATACTAATACTAATAACAGCAGCAGCAGCCTGGATCCAGCAGAGTAGTGGGCACTGGACATCACCCTGAAAATGCCAACAGACCAAGGGAGATGTAGGATTTAATCTCAAAAATAAAACAAAAGGAAACACTGAACTGGGGATACAGAATTCCTTGCCCCAAGCAGCCCGCCTGACTTCTGACTGGGCACAGTCAATCCAGGGTGCAAGATTCAGCATACCTGGTAGCTTACTCCACAACCCATGTGCCACAGCTGGACTCCCACACACCCACACGGCCTCACAGCCACTTTTTGCCATCCCGTTTCCTCATCATCTTCTTCCTTTGCTGCAGTTTTGGCAAGAGAATCCGCTCCTAACACATCCATTCTCCTCTCCTCTTCACCCAGGAGTGGTTGTGTGTGTGTGTGTGTGTGTGTGTGTGTGTGTGTGTGTGTGTGTGTTGTTAATGCCTAAAGTGAGTGAATAACCCCTAAGGACTACTTGCAGACTGTAGATGAGTCTTTATTCTTTTAACCGTCTGGGGTTGTAGAGATGAGTCTTTATTCTTTTAACCGTCTGGGGGCAAGGGAGTGAAGAGCCGAGGAAATCAGAGTGCGGCTCCTGTGAGTCTGTTGCTCAAGCTCATCAACTGAAAATAAAATTAAACACCAGGAAGAACAGAGGGAACAGGAAGGGAGAAAGAAAAACAAAGGCCGTTCGCTTCTCATGGAGAATCTGAAGCCGTTACCATCACGTTCCTAGGAATGTTACGTGTCGCTCGTTGAACAGTGCTGCATCCTGTGATCGGTCGGTTTGTTTCGCCCCCCCCCCCGCCCCCCCCGATTTGCATCCCTGAATCGCTGCAGCATCTTCCGGTCCGTCCGAGGCTCTCTGTCATAGCGGTCCGTGAACCAAAGACCCTGTCCAAAGGCCGGCCAGCGCCAGGCCTATGTGAAGTCTGAGGAAGGAGCGCACCGCAACGGGGACAGAGAGCGAGGAGGAGGAGGAGGAGGTGCAGGAGCAGACCTCGCTCTCCGATCGGCTCTCGTCGTGGTGCCCCTGCCTGGAGCGCCCGCCGGTCCGGGAGCTCTCGGCCGGCTCGGGGGCATCCGCCTGCATGTCGCCGCACACCAGCCAGTCCCTGGCGATGGACTGGGGGTAGCCCGGCTCTGCCTCCAGATTGCTGTCCATCACCTTCCAGTACTCCTTGCCCTTGAAGAAGTAGGTCGCTCCTGCAGGGGAGGCAGAGACAGAGCGGCATGACCTCCCCTGAGCTGGCGGCTCATGACCACGGGAAGGCCGCCCCTTCCTGGAAAAGGGAGCCCTCAGCACTGGCCGGCTCCTGCCGGGAGCACAGGGAAGCCGGGAGGAGGGGGAGTGGAATGGAGACTCCTGCAAGGGGGCACGGCTGGCTGGTGGGAGCCCCGCATGGGGGCATGCCGGGTAGGGCAGCCTTCATGGGCCCCCTTCCTCGGGGGGCCTGTCCCCCGCCCGGCTTGCCCCGGGGGCGCCCAAGAAATTCCCCCGAGCACCTGCCCACTCACCGTCTGACCACCGGGTGGCATCGTCCAGCCTGCTGGGAACCCCCTTCCACAGCATGGCCTCCGAGGGATAGCCCGGGTCCATCCTGTGCTGGTGGTCGTCGTAGCACCAGTAGAGGTGGTCCTTAAAGAAGTAGGTCTTGTCGTTCTGGGCCCAGGAGAAGGCGGCATCGATGCCTCCCGGGGGCAAGCCGAAGTCCGAGATGGGCCGAGGATAGCCTTCTTCCACGTTATTGTCCTTGAACACCCAGTACCTGTTTCCTGGGAAGGAGAAACAGGCCGGTCAGCAGTGAGGGCTCAGGGTGTCCCCACCAAGGGGGCCATGTCTCCACTCTGGCTTTTCACCTGAGCTTTTCAGGAGGTATCCGTGGTGCCAAATACCACCTCCAAAGTTTCTCCACCACCCTGAATAGCTCCTCAAGCTTTCTGGTGGAAGCCCATCGGTTGTACTAGTGATCGTCAACTCTAAAATCACCACTTCCCAGGAAAAGGGAGTGACTGACGGTCCAAACGAAAGCAGAATTTGCAGCTTGCAAACGGATGGCTCGCAGGGCTGTGCGTGTCTATTTTGTGCCTTTTTAATTCATTTTATAACGGCAATTGCCATTCTCCGGGAGCCGATTCTTACGCAGTCAAGCAGGACCATCCGTGCTCAGAAGTGACAGGCAAGCAGATTTCAGGGAGTGATGCAAAAAATATTTTTTTAGGGGGTAGCCTTTCGAGACAGGTAGGGTGTCAGAAGCATCCTCATGAAGACCAAGAATGCTTGGTGGGCCCAGAATATTGATGGACTGTTTGGGAAGATGCTTGCCCCATAAATCAGGGGTGCTGGCGGTCAGGCATAGGCCGCGCCACTATGAAAGGCACACCCCATGCCGCACAATTTTGGAGCGGCGGTTCTGGCAGTCCTCCTGCATTTAACCAGTAGAGGGGAGCATTGTACAAACAATGGGGAGCAACAGTTCTAGCACTGAAGCTGACCCGAAAATTGCTCCATGCTCCAGTGCCCCAGAATATCTGTTCGGGACAGGCCTCACCTTGCCCCCCTCGATGCTCCTGCCCCACTGGCTCATTTCAGAGGGGAGCCGTGAGGGAGAGAAAATGAAGAAGCCGTTTCGCAGTGCACTGGCTATTTTGTACGGGCACTTTCTGTCCCAGGGGGTGTTTTGAGAGGGTGGCGAAGGAGTATCAACTGCGCTAGTGGCAGGTGGTGGAAAGGATGGATCGATGCATCTGAGGAATGGCTGCTGGTCTCAAGGTTCTGTGGTACCTCCGGGGTTAAAGGCAGCGTGACTGTGCACACCTATTCTGGTGCACCTGCTACACTCCAGTCCTTGTTCTTGGGTTTCTTCTCCGTGTGAAGACTTCCTCTGATCTCTCCCGACTCTCACACCGTGGGAGGACCTCTCTGGGTTCTAGCTCTAGTGTGATGAAGGCATCGTGCAGTGTGAAATGAGAGCTTCCATGTTCCAGCTGCGGCCTGAATGCTGAAGGAGCATTTGGTTCCAAATCCAAATATGTGGAGGGTTTTTTTCGGGGGGGGGGGGGAATGGGGTTCAGAACCATGGGTCGCTCCTTCAAAGTTCAGACTAAAACACAGTGGGGATACACCACCCCACTGAAATTGGAACCGGATGCTCCCATGGGCAATAGGAATAATGGCTCCTCCACTCGTCTTTGCGTAAGCTGTAAGAAGACGCTGTAACCACTTCACAGCGGAGTTGCTGGAGCCAAGGAACAATTCCCCTGCCATCTGCAGAAAGGCAGGTCTGGATTATGTTGAATTCCTTCCCTAATATTCTCCTGCATGAATTTTCCCCTTGCCCCCAGCAGGCGCACCCTGAGCCCCCTCCAGAGGTGCCAGGTGGGGACAAGCAGCCGGAAGTGGAGAGCTCTGGGGAGGGAAAGCAGGCCCCACTTCAACCCATGGGAGACACTCAGACTGCAGGCGCTCACCTTTGAAGAAGACGATCTTGTGGTCATGGGTCCGTTCGTACACCGCGTCCACACTGTCCAGGTTGAGAGGCAGCCCCCGCCAGAAGCGGTGGATCTGGGCCGGCTGCAGGGAGACCAGGTGCTTGTTGCGAGTCAGCCTCCAGAAGTATTTGCCTGGGAGGAGAGAGGGATTTTCTCGTGGGGGGAGAGGCATCGTCTGAATGGAGCATGAAGGAGGTTACACTGGGCCACTGTGAAGGCTTCCCTCGCCGTGTTTGAGTTCCTCTGTACCATGTGTTTATTAAACATTATTTCTGCTCTGGTTCATCTCCCAGGGCTTTCGGGGTAAACCCAGCCAGTTCTCTGCTGCTTGTTTTTCACTGACGTGACGTGCTGCTGTCACGTATTCGAAAGTGTGTTTTCGAGTACTCCCTCAAGCTCAAGGCAGGAGACCTGCCACCTTCAGGCAGGGGAGGGAAAAGGGGGGCTCCCTCTTGCCTTCCGGGGGAGTCCCGGCCATGCCTCTCTGCTTCCCATCCAAATGCATCCACATCGCCAGGCTTCCCACCTGCCCCTGTCTGGGAGCACAGGGCAGAAGGCTCCACAAGGATCCTGCTTGCTTCAATTTCCAGTCACGTGCAATCATGAAAATCGAGGACGCAGATCCTATTCATGCAATTTCCTATTTGCTTTTAAGAACAAATGCCAATATATTTGCAAGGGGCTTTGCCTCGCCTTCAGAAGCCTGACCCAGTCTCCCTCCACTAAGCTACATTTTCCTAATCTGCTGCCTGCATTTTTACCTGCCTGCTACAACAACGATCAGAAACCCATGCTCAAGGCTGTGCAGTGCAGTGGTTAGAACGTTAGGGGGATCTTCAGTGCCCAGATAAATGCAAGACCCATACCTTCCTTAGCTCAAAGGTCAAAAAGCTGTGCCCGTGTTCGAGATCTTCGGGTCTCTTGGTCAGGCAGGCAAAACAATTCAAGGCTGGCCAGATGGGTTGCGAGGTGAGTCTGACCGGATGTGGTCAGGCTGGCCACATACTAATTGTGAGTGTCGTGATCAGAGCCCTGCACTGGGACTCAGGCGGTCTGGGTCCCAGTCCCAGTCAGTCATGCCTCTCACTTCGGGTCAGGCACTGGTTCTCAACCTATTCTACCTCGCAGGGTTGTTGTGAGAATCAAGAGAGGATCAAGCATGCTGCTCTTTGCAGGGAAGGCGGGATCTAAGAAAATACAAACAGGGAGGCCTGCTCTTTCGCCCTCCTGTAATGTTAGTTGGACGATGACCGGAGGGAGGGCCTTCTCGGTTGTGGCACCAATGGTGAGGTCAGGGGGGCGTGGAGCGCCACCCCCAGGGAAGGCTGGCACAGCACCGGATCCACAGACTCCTTCTTTCAAACAATGCCTGTGCCTTCCCGCCTACCTGCCTGCCTGCCCTCTACATACACTCCTCAACCCGATATTTTCAAAGCAGTTTTAAGAAATTCATATGGCTCCAACCTGTTTCCTTCTATTATTTCGCCCGAGTTTAATCACGTGGATGTACAACCGAGACTTGCAACAAGCACGCCATGCGCCTGCTCAGGGCTCCAGCCAGCCAGCCAGCGAGCCATGCCTGTCCTAGGGCACTCCATTACGCCCCCTGCCAGCCATTCCACAACAGCGCCGCCCCACCTCCTTTGCCCCGCAGGCCCAGTGACAGAGACGGAGACTCGCAATCGGCCAGAAGTGAGTGTATACTGTCCCCCAAAGCAAGCGATTGCTCCTTATGTGCAGACGCACGGCAGAAATCCCAGAGGGGAAGAAACGCGGCAGTAACTCAAGATGGTATTTCCAAATTTGTATGCGGGAGAGCGTGGCTCTTTACTTCTCCAGTTGCAACAGCTGGAGAAGTTGTCTTTAAGAACTCATGGAAATTGGATCCTGGCCCAGGGCCGCAGGACACAAGACTTCCAGGCCTTCAACATCTGCATGGCGGTTCGGCTCCCCACCCCCCCACCCCCAACGCCCAACACCCAGGACAAAGCCATTAAATTACCATAGTAAGGATTTATATCATAGGCTGGTGATTATGCGCCACTTTGCATATTTGTGCTCTATGACACCAAGAAATGCATGAATAATGCATCGGAGTGCAGTCTGGGTAGCAGCAATTATATCTTCATAAAAGATGGCTTGAAATAAAGGATGGAGAGAGAGGATGCCCCAACGTTTGAATCTGGTACCCTTTGCATGTTTAGGGGAAATGTATGCCATCAGGTAAAGGTGGCCTTTGCTTCCCCGGTGAAACTTGCACTAGAATAGGGCCATGCTTCTCACTGGCACTTTTGGAGGAGGGATCCTTCTTGATTTTTTTTCCCAAATGGAATTTTGTCAAAGTCCAAAGTCCAAAGACTCCAGTGCTAATTTGTTGTAAGTGCCAAAACCACGGAGAGATGCAGAGCCTGGGGTACAATGCTCGCCTTGCAGGGAAAGGTCTCAGGAAGGGCCAGAAAAGACCCATGCCTGCGATGTGGGAGCGTCGCTACAGGTCAGGTACCTTTCTTTCCATCACCTGATCATTGATGGATTTATAGTTATTTTTTGGTGGGGGAAATTTACTTCAGCTTCTGCACATGTGCACTTTTCCACAAGGCCCCTTTTCCGGATGAGGTGAGAAGGAAGAACAGCTTGCCCAGAAAGTTAGGTGCAAGACATGGGGGAGGTTCTGAGTTCTATTCCACCACAATTTCCTTCTGAAGCTGCGGGGTGCTGATCCCTTGGCCCATTTCATGGAAAACAGGAAGGAACAGAAAGAGAAATACTCATATTTTGGGCAAAGCTGCAAGGCATGGGAGAAGCCTGAGACCCACGTTTGTGTTAGAAATACCTACTTACCTGAAGGTACATCATGCATGCTTACAGCAACACTCACCCACAGAGTCTGCTGGGTGTTAGTAGTCCCCCTAGACAGATGAATTCCTACAGGGCTTTTTAGACTCCTAGGGCAAGGACCTGTCCTTCCATACAGGGCTGACAATTATGACAACGGATGATTACTACTGTTGTAACCACCATTAATATCCTCTCCTGCTCCTCCCTGGCTGGCTTTATGGAACTGCCTTGCTGTTGGCCTCAGTTTTCCCACCTGCAGAATGGGCCCAGCCTCTCATCAGGATTACTGCGGCGAGGCACGCGCGAAGCTTTGAATGCTGAAGGCACCACAGAAATGCTGCTATTCAGAAAGAAGCGGAGCAAGCTGAGACGTAGCTGCGAATGAACCTTTTGCAGGAAGATGATGCCTTGGCCAAGCAAACAGTGGAAGCCTTCCAAGATCTGGCTGCAAAGAACTCTCGTAGGAGAACAAGCGGAGGCGAAATTGGCTGCCCCAGTTGAGGAAGGCAGCTCTGTGGACGCTTAGCCGCAGCATCCGCCCCGCTTCCTGGACATGCCCTGCTAGCAGATGTTCGGACATGTGAATCCAGACGGGCCACACCATTAAGGAGCATGCCAGGGCGACCCCCGGAGTGGGGAACGCATTCAGGGTCTCATCTGGAAGGACCTCTGCTTCAGGAGGCTCATTCGGCCGGGTGCAGCCGTGGGGTCCTCAGAGAGGCCCCGGTGGTACAGCCACTGGTCTCTGTCCACTGGTGCTGCTGAGAGGTGGAGACCACCACTGAGGGCGGTCCCTGCCTGCTATCCCAGCAGGTTGCACAGACGGGGTGGAGGGCCATCCCCACAGTCTTGCTGGAAAAGTACTTATCTCTTTCCTCTTCTCACCTCACCTCCTTTCCTTCTGAGTTGTGTTTTTCACATGGTAACCCTGTGAGCTGAGAGCTATTTCTGTTTTTGTTTGAGCGCACGTAAGCCTTCTCAGGAACAAACCTTCCTTCCTTCCTTCCTTCCTTCCTTCCTTCCTTCCTTCCTTCCTTCCTTCCTTCCTTCCTTCCTCCTGAGTTCTAGTCCCTGCCTGGCCTTGAAGCTCACTGTGAGGCTTTGGGGAGCCACTCCCTCTCAAGCTACCCAACCTACCCTGCATAAAATGGAGAGGAGACGACTCTCCCAGGCTACCCAGGGTCCCTTGCAAGAGGTAAAAAGGTGGGCGAGAGGCGCAATGGAACAGCAACGCCAGTGATGATACCAGGGCAGCAGAGAATCCAGAGTGGCTGCCCTCCTCGCTCTCTGGAGCTGGGGGGACCTGTGCACCACTCCTCCCTCTAGAAAGAAGCTGTGCAGTTGGCCGAAGCTCCTCGGGACGCTGGGCTGATTCCGCCTGCCCGGGAAGCCACCGCAGAGGTCCCCCGTTTCTCTGCTCAACCAGCCAGTCCTCCCGAGCTCCGCCATGCTCCTGTTGGCTCGACGGCTCTGCCCTTCCCTCTGCCTTGCTCCCGCCTCCCGGTTCGTCCTTGGCAACCTGACATGCGGTTCATTGTCCGATCACTCCCCGTTTCCTGCAGGTGGTGACTCCTACGGGGATGAGCGTGTGGGGCAGGGGGGTCCGGCTCCCCTCCCGCGACCCCTTGGGCAAAAGCTAGACCTCTTCCAGGGGGCCCGGGACAGGTGTGTTTGCATCATCTCTGGTGGGTTCCAAAACAGCACCATCCGAGGGGGAAGAGGCACAGGCTCACCTTTGAAGAAGAAGGCCTCTCCGCGGATCTGCGCCACAGCGTCAAAGTGGGTGTTGCATCTGTTGGGCACGTCTCTCCGGAGCCTGGTGGATGGAGAAGCAGCGAGGATGGGATGGCCCGTCAGTCAGTTTGCGTGGCTCCTCTTTCGAGCCAAGGGCTGGTGCCGTCCCGGAGCAGCTCTCGGCGGGCTGCATCCCAGGGGTGGGCAGGCCAAAGGCAGAGAGGCTGAAGCACCAAATACCCCAGGCAGCAGCTTATTTTCATTTGAATTCATCCTGCCTGATGGATTTTGGGCAGGATGGATGAAGAGCAATGACTATATCCCCAGGAAAGGCCACTGGGTATTGATCAAGCAGATAAACGTGGTCCCTCATTCAAGCTCATAACTCAGTTAAAAAGAACCAGGTAGCTGCGATGAGAAGGACTTCTGTCCAGAAAGCAGCTGCCAGTCAGAGCTGACAAAACCAGTCCTAGACAGACAGATAAATTGGCTTGGTACAAGGCAGCTTCCAATGTGCTCAAAATGTCCCCCTGGTCCTGCTCAGTCATCCTCTTTTAACGAAAGGCAGCTTGTCCCAACCTGGTGCCTTCCAAATACTTTGGACTACACCTCCCAGCATTCTTGATTATGGGTGATGCTGGCTAGGGTCAATGGGAGAAGAAAGAGAGAGCATCACATGCTCAGTTGATCTGGAGGCTATTCCCCCACCCAGCCTAGTATCAGTGGCTCTTGGAAAGGGTTAACTCTGGCTGTATCCAAGGTCCTTTCTGTCCATCCTTTCTCTTATTTTTTTATTCTTGGTTTTTGCACTGAAATCTAGCAATTCTGGGAGAGGCCACATTCTTGGCATTGCTTCGAAGGGTCTTAGCCCACATGTGAGGAATAACCTTGCTTTGCTTTCACAACACCCCATCCTCCCTCTGCTCGAACGTTCGCTCCAGTTCATCCCAAGACCACCCCAATGCTGAGCCCGCCAATCTAGGCCCAGGCCTGAAAACAGACAAGCTTTGATGCTCTCGCCCAGCTCCCATCTGACATGCCGTCCTTGGAAAGGCACCAGGGGAATCTCCGCCTCAACAGAGGATGACGAACGCAGCAAGCGGGAGATCGTGCAGTTGTGAGGAAGGAAGGAACAAGCCTGATTAAAATTTCATCGAGGGTGAGTTCGCCCAAGGGTGACCACTAACTAATTTTCCCCGTTGCGTGCGGAGCGAGCTTCCCTGACACAAGACGACTTGAGGGCATAATGAAGAAGCTGAATCTGCTGTCTCTGGAAGGACAAATTGTCCTTCTGCAGACCGCTTTGTTCAAAATTGCAGAGTTGGACCTTCCACCAGGAAAACAAGAGCCAGGGAATAACCGTCAGTAGCCAACACCGACATCTTCTGGATGTCCAGCCAACCCTTCCCTTCAGTTTCTGAATGCATTCGTTGTCATTGCTTCTTTAGGGCTTTATGGAGTCATGCTATTTTATTGCTCCTCGTTTTTAGTTCTAATGATAATATTTTCAAAAACTGTATCCGCAGTTGTGCAAGTGCTTGTTTCTGTGCATGGGCACTTTTGCTAATGCACATCAGCACAAATCCCCCTCCCATTTTGCGGTGAGGGGAAGGACTTTTTAAAAGAAAGGTGTCAGGGAAAAAAGATCCTATGGTTCCCTAGACAGCATCTGAGAGGCCACAGGAGATTCTGAATTCCCAGAAACAGAGCTCCGATCTTGGAGCTGGGGACCCATGCTCCATCGGACCACGCTGGAAAACTGACTGTGGAGAGAGCCTTTCCTCCCCTCCAGAGGGCTGAAGCTAGATGGCCAAAAGCAGCAGGCTGGGAAGAGCGAGGAGCTGGCAGTTGCTTCCTCCAGTTCCACGCTTTGCACGAGAGCTCAAAAGCTGCCAAGACCAGAATCTTAGGGTGCATTTGATAGGATTGCCTGCTTAGAAATCTTTAAAAAAGCTTTGACTTGATGATGATATTTATTCGGTAATGTGAGAGTGTTGGCTGTTGGGCGGTATGGAAATGAAATTTTCCTTTTCCTCCCCCTCCCCCTCCTTCTGTATTTATTCTACAATTCAGTTTCTGGACTTGACGTTCATTTCTGCTCAGGTTCTCCCTGCCGGCCCCACAAAGAAATACGGGCAAGGTGTTTACAGCTGAGCTCAACTTACGGGACAGTGGACCGATTTTCGGGCAAGTCCGGCAAGACGGGGTGGTCATCTGTTTTGGAGATTTCGGGTTTGGCTGTTGGGGACACAGACTCCCGGACCCCTGTGTGCAAAGACAGGGAAGGGTTAAAACTTATTCACCCATGAAGTGGGGTGCAGAGCTTCCAACCAGGGTTTTGAGGGGCTGGTGTTCTCCTGCCATGGTCCCTTTCATTATCACCATGTCCTGTCCTGCAGAATGTCTACTTCTCCAGGTCGGAAATTTAACAGGCTTAAGTATTCCCAGTGAAAGGCAGAGAATGCTGCAGCAGGTACCACTGGATGGCACAGAACTCAAGGGAGGCCCCTACAGGAAAGACTCAGTCTCCTGTCATTTGTGCCACCCCCTGTTGGCTAAGGAAGGGAACTGCAGGCAACCCAAACTGGGGCACTATCCCAACCGCTCAGAATCCACCTGCGACTCAGGTGTTACCAGGAAGCCCATTCCATGCCTTTACTTGATGCTTTGCGCTCCCTGCCCTCTACTCACACCCATCTGGAGCTCCCCATTGGAAGATGCTGCCAGCCAATCCCTGCTGTGCCCTTGACTTACTCCCCGCCTCCCATATGTCCATCTGCCCTCCCAAGAACATGCCGACCTGTAGGTTATCTTGGCCGAGTGCTGTCCCGTGTGCGGCAAGTCATGACATGACATTCTCAGCGAAGAACCTTCAGGATGGACTCCACCCAGGCTGGTCCTCCTAGGCAGGAAGGAGCCCATGAGGACTTCCTCCCTGAGCTTTCCTTCCTCCCTGAGCTTTCCTTCCTCAGCAAGATCTACTGCACCTGAGCTCTTGCTGTATTTCCAGCCTGGCTCCTTGCCCCAACTTCTGGTTTGCTCTCACTGCTGCGACATCCTCCATCTGGGCTCCCAGTCCATTCCACCCCACCACCCACAGCCCAGCCTTGCCATGTGAGCACTGGACGCCCACTGGACACTGCTATCAACCAGTTTCTTCACTGGGGCTTGACGGAGGCCACTCAACACAGGCACGGACGAATGGAGGCTCACCGTACAGCTGCCAGATGCGGACCTTGTCTTCGTAAGGAAGGTCATACTTCAGGGGGTCCCCCACTGGTCCCTGGTAGTACGGCCTCATGATGGACTCTATGGCTGATATGTGGGTCAGGCCAATGGCATGCCCAAACTCATGGACTGCCACGGCAAAGAGGTCCATCCCGTGGGCATCTGGAAGCAATGGGTGGGGATGAAGAAACAACGACAAAGCTCATTCTGTGCTTTGTAGCATCAGGTAATCTATCATCTCTCTCTCTCTCTCTCTCTCTCACACACACACACAGAGAGAGAGAGAGAGAGAGAGAGAGAGAGAGAGAGAGAGAGAGAGAGAACATAATCTGCTGCTGCTACTCCGGTCTTTTCCTCCTTGTTGTAAGGTATGATTGGCAACCTTATGCCTGGTTTCTGTTAATTAGGAAAAGAAGAAGAAGAAACAAAACAGAAAGCTGTTTGAAGACCACCTGGAGGCCAGCAGGGAAGTGGATGGAAGCAAAGACGCCAAGGAGACCTTGCTCCTCCTCCTCCATCAAAGCAGAGAACAGGGGTGGCCTTTGATGGAACTCAGCTTTGTGTGCTCTCTGCATCAAGGCTGCTCACATTTCTTTGATAGCATATATTTCTGAGTTCCTCCCTCTGTTTTGGTTTTGATGATCCACTGACACCACCCATAAACAGAGCTTCAGTTCTTTAACTCTCCCTCTTCTATTACTCGTCGCAGCAGGATCTGGGAATACGGCATTGTCTTCTTCCAGAAGACCCCGTGCCAAACTGACAACCTTGGAAATGTTTTTGTGTTGCCTGCCGAGGTTGGCGGGAGAGGACGAAATGAAATCAATAAAAGATGAGGCACCAGAGAACGCCTCATTTTCGTATGCAGATGGAGCTTTGCTTCTTGCCAGCTTGCCCCTGGGAGATGCTGTTCCCTCTCAACACGGCCACTCACAATCCAAGGCCCTGGTTTGGATATGTGCAGATTTAAGGTACGAGTATGTCACACATCTCCTTCTCTAAGGGGGATGATGTAGCCAAGCTCTTCACAGAGCTATTTCTGGCACATTGCTCAACTTAATGCAGCCTTCCATCAATCGCCTCCACCTGCTACCCAGGCCTCTGGCCCTCTGGCTGATGGAAGCATATCGTTAAGATATAATTACTATACTGCCCTTACTTCCCTTCTGCAGGGAACCCAAGCTGGCGCAGAGGGTTCCTCTCCTCTCCCTTTTATCTCACAAAAACAGCCCTGTGAGCTGGGCAAGGCTGAGCGCCATGACTGGTTCACTGGTTCCATGGCTGGGCAGGCACTCGAACCCGCATCCCTTGGGTCCCGCTCCCAGTCCTAACCACTTTCCAGCACTGCACACAGGAAAATGTGCAAGCAGTCTTCTATCGCAACGCTCAGTAGCACGTCCTACCAGGAAGTTAACCTGTAACATCCAGGATGATCCATCCATCCAGCCAAGTGTGGGCTGATGTGGATGGAAAGCTCTCCAGGCTTCGCACAATGCCAATTCCATCTTCCACAATGGTCGATCTGCCTCCCCTTCACCCTTTTCTTGCTCCTTCATTGGCACTCTGGAGGGGAAAGGGGGACCCCCGTGTATTTCTGCTACTCTCTCCCCCCGACCCACCTGACGATCGGAACGTCCAGTATTCGTCGTCATCAAAGTGAGTGTCCCCAGCAGTGTGATGCTCCCCAGGGAAGAAGGCGTGCGCGACGGTGCCTCCGGGGCCATCAAAGGGGTAGCCGTCATCATGGTCCGTTTTGGAAAAGTCGATCTGGATGTCCGCGTTGTTGCCCGCCACCTCGTGGAAATTCAGCGGTGTTATGTCACTCCACACCTTCAGGGCGTAGTACATGAGGGCACGGACGGTGTCGTGGCCCAGATGAGATTCCCTGGGGAACGTTCGGACTCTGCAACGAAAGAAGGAAGCAACGGTGGGGAAAACAGCCTTTCTTCTGACAAGCGGGCCAGGCTTTCTTTTCTTTCCTGTCTCGCCATCGGGGCCATCGACTTTCCTACAAGGGCCATCGTTTGGTGATTTCCTAGCTTTTGTGCCGCTTCTTTGCCACATTCAAAAGCGGAAATACATGCACAAGAAGCTGCCCGTGCAAACTGGGGGAGTCTCCCCTTCATTACTCTGTGCAGGCAGTGGAGAACAGACTCACCCTCTTTCCCTGTGAAGCTGAGAGAGCAGCAGCGATAGTTAGTGTGAAGAGGACGTGCAAGAGAGAGTTTGACGGGGAAATAGTTTGCATGGAGGGGACTGGCCACTGCTCCTCTTCCTCACCCCCATAACACTGCTTTTCTGACCAAATGCATAGCCTTCCAAACTCAGCGTGAAGTAGGAAAAAGAAAGGAAAACTTCAACAAAGCACTGCGAGATATTTCCCACATCGCATCTCGTTTGACACCATGAAGTAACTTCGAAAATACTGTGAAAGATCTTTCTCCCCGCTTTTTGGTGAGTGTGTCTTTTGCTAGTTATCTACTTGTTACAGCCTCCTGCTGAGCCCTTTGAGATCGAAGGCAAGAAAGAGAAAGAGGGCTGAAGTATTTGATGGAGAAATGAACAGAGGAGAGCAGCTGAAAATCCACACTTGACTCTGAAGGGACTTGGCAGTCTGCACGCCAGGAGCAAAGCGCAGCCATGGATGACGAGAATAGCAATTAGCACGGAGTCTCCTTCTATCTTGGCCCGTGCCAGTAGTTTTCGTCTTCGTGCGATAAAGCCGAGGGACCCTTTTCCAGGGACCTGTTACTTTTAATCTGGTTGGTGCGTCGGAGGAAAATCCAGTTATCTCCCAGCACCACAGGCCTGGAGCTGGTTAATAATTTGTTTGTGCAAAGCCCGTGAGTCGAATTGGACCAATTTATTAGTCTGAAGCATTAATTAATGAAACCTCCTGGGATGCGCGGAGGGCGGTAAGTGCTTTGTTATCGTGACGTGCAGGTTGGTGCTTTGTTTTCTCTGTCACTGATGACATGAGCATAGCAAGGCCTTCCCGGCCCCTCTCCCCGGGAGCCACCTGACCGTCCACCAGCCCCACCTCAGGACCGCCTTGCCGGGGTTCTGTAAAAGAACACACAGCCATGGGTGTCTGCGGAAGCAAGCGCAGTGGCAGCTGAACGTGCCTGGGTCCCACACGGGCCCCTAGAGCTCTCCAGGGGGCAGTGGCCTCTTGACCTGTCCTCACTTTCTCTGGCCACTGAACCTTTGCTGGCTCCTTGCAGGTTCCCCTCCCACCCCCCGCCTACGAGGTGGGAATATCTGCCCTGAAGCGAAGCTGGTGAGAGCAGCAAAAACCTCATGCCAGAACTTGTTTTCAGGACTGCAGCCCCACCACAACTGGGATGTGGCCCTGGAAGACTCCTCTGAGATGGGACCTGGTGCTCGGGGTGGAAGAGGCCCAACAGTCTCGACGCGGAAGATGCCCATTCGGCCTTTCATCCCATTAGATGCCAGATTTGGCGACCCAAAGCACCCCTTCTCAGGGGTGTCAGCATTAGGAGGGGTGTAAGAGGACAAATGCCCCCAGGGCTGGACCCCCCGAGGTTGCTTGAAGAAGAATTCCTTCCCCCATGCTCAGCATGGTTTCTTTCTTATCCTCTGAGTAGGTGCAGGACGACGTCGTAAGTCCTGCTCAAGGGCTGAGTGTGGGCTGTTGCTGAACCACAGGCTGCTGTTGAAACATGGATCATCTTACCGATCGAACCGAGTCGTTCTAACAAGCCACTGCTTCCCATGAACAACCCAGGAAAAGAAGACAGGTTGCTGGGTTGCAAACCCTGGTCTTGTCCACCACGGTTTGTCATCTCAGCTAGAGTCAGGTCATGGGATAAGCCACATTTCAACAACCACCCACGCCTGTATGGACCCCGTCTTGGTCTCAGGTGTCCATGGCCTCCCATCCGTCAGCCCATGATAGAGCAGGCTGGAGAAGAGGGCTTTGGCGTTGAGGGTCGACGGAAGCCAGGATTTTCCGAAAACGGGACAGCGGCCTGGTGCTGAATCCGAGGTGCCACCATTTTAACAGAGTCAGAGATGGGCGTTCCGGTGAGTCTCTTTCAGTATCTGCTGCCTAACAAGGTGGAGAAGCTACTGGGAGGATTCAAGCCCATCGTCTGCCTTCTGGAACTCTGCCTGTGAGTCCGGGTGGTGCCGCGCCCTTGGGCTCTGCCTCTACCAACATGTTTCACAGCCCTGCACTCCTTTCACACCCCTGCGGAGGGAACAGCTGCCACAAACCGGCTCCAGAAGGGCAGCGGTGGCCTGACAGCCCTCCTGCGCATTGCGCCCGTGTACCTGCCTTGTCCTTTCACGTGTCCCCCGGGAGGCTCCGCAGCAGCTGCTGCAGAGAGAAAACAGATGTCCAGGGCATTTTGAAACTATTCGCAAGTTTTCTGGCTAGCGTGGGGGCTGCTTCCTCACGGATGCTGCAGCCCAAGGGGAAATGTATTGCAATGACATGCGAAGGTGCCCCAGAGCTGGGGCAGAACCTTGGCATGGGGAATTCCGCCGCAGGGCAGAATTCTTTCCGGCTGCGGAATGGGGAGGGGGAATTCTAAGCCCCATGCCCAAGAAGGGTGCAGGCAATCAGGTGCTCAGGCCCACAAGACCAAAAAGACAACGCAACACATATTCGCGTGTGTGCCTTCGCTGCTGTCACAAGCCATCCAGTCCTCCCCAACCTCGTGAACAAACACCCTCCAAGATCTCCCGTCTCTGACAGCCCTGGGTTCGCTGCCTCATCTTCCTGCCCCACGGTAGAGAGACACCTCAACACCCACCCGCTCCAGCAAGCTTGCCAACAAAACTGGATTTCAACTCTGCTGAGAGCAATGGAGAAACAAAAACCATGTGCCTCAGTTTGAAAGCAACATCTGCAGCCGTGCTGAAGAGCAGAAGCAGGGAGCACGAATTGTTCTGAACTCATGCTGAGTCTGAAGGTAAATAGAAGGAGGTCAGCAGAAAGTCAAGTGTGCTCTTTGGGGCTACGGGCTCCCACGGTAGCTGCCCTCCTGATCTCCTTCAAGGATGGCTCCCGGAACAGGAGCTCCAGCTCAGGTCTCAAGGGGTGGGAGGATACCATCATCCCCAGCTGCTCTTGCGCCTCACCCTCCTTCACCGGGGACCCCTGGTGGGGTATGTGCCGCTGCCAGTGCCCACGTCCACCCACCTTTGGAGGCTGGCCCTGGGAACAAGCCCCACAGATGCGCCGTCCAGTGTGACGAGGGCACGGATATCTATTTTATGCTGCTTGCACTCAGAGCAGGGACAGATGCTCACCCCAGCAATGCCTCCTTGCCTGTGCATTAATCCTGAGGATGCTGCAGGAGAAAAGGATGGCCCGGTTTGTGGCAGTTTCTCAGTTACTCCAAAGAAAGCAGATGGCAGAATACCCAATTATTTCTGAGAAATACTGCCGGCCTCCTATTCATGTGAACAGTAGGGGGTGTTTGCTGCTCCTCGCCGGGACGCGGTGCCCCCCCCCCCCGTCCTTTGCTGTAAGCTGAACTGGCACTCCAAAGCAAGCTGAGAAGCAGTGGCCTCGGGGGCTCTTTTGGCTCTGAACGACTGTTCAGATTCGATGATTTAGAAACCGAGAAATAAGTCCTTTCATCTAGATCGACAGCATCCTGGGAGGTGGCTGCAGGAAGACGTGCAAGTCGCTGGCGCAGGATGCTGACTCAGCTTGGAGGGCCAGGAGGATGTGACTCCGGCTTGCTTCGCTGTATCCACGCAAAGGAAATTCGGCAGGCAGTCTTATTTCTGGGTCATTTCTTGGGGAAAAGGGGGATTAACCCTTCCCGTACGCTCCAATCCTCGCTGTTCATCAGGGATGGGGTTTTGGTGTTCTGGCAGATGGGTGTCCGGACTTTTGCCTCTGTTCATGTCTTTGCAGGAAGCCCTGTTAAAATGCTGTTCAGCATCTCAAGGTGCCGAAGCGATTGCTCTTCTAAGGTCACTCCGCTCCTTCCCCAGGATCGCTACAGAAACTGCTTTCAGTGGTTGGAGACAAACCAGGACACCTCAGGGCTAGATCCTGAGGAGAGCTCTGGGAGAAAACTTTACTCAGGACCAAGGAGTATGTGGCCACTAAGCACAAACCAAGAGGCAGGGCTGAGAAGCTCGCCTGCAGCCCGGAGCAAAGGGCGAGTCATGAGTGGTGGATGGGCAAGAGGCAAGGCTGAGGAGCAAGCCAGGAGTCAGAACTGAAGCTCAAACTGGGAGACACGGCTGAGAGGCAAGCCAGGGCCCAGGACCAGAGGAAGAACTGAGAGACGAGCTTGAGGAGCAAGCCAGGACGTAGGGCTGAAGGCCACAGTGGGATGCAAGTCGTTTCTGAGTGCAGACCAGTACAAGCCAAGAGGCAGGACTGGAAGCATCTGACCTGAACTGCTCTTTGACAGAATATCCAAAGTGAAAGGGTGCATAAACACGTGCAGTAAGGGGAAAGAACTCTCGGAAAAAGCAGTAGGTCTTTTCCAAATGCTTGTGGTGGAATCCCATAATTACCAAAACCAAGTTGAGCCAAGGGAAGTTCGCTCCTCGTTACTGCAGAACCACGCTGAGCAAAGAGAACCTCGACTTCCAAAGGCCCTTGCCTTCTCCTCCAGACATGCAGAGTGGAGGAAAGCGCCACTGGGAGCAAGGCCAAGTTCCTGGTTTTTTTCCCAAAGAGCCAACATTCAACCAGCAACTTTCATGCCTGGAGTCCTTTCCTCCAACTTCTCGGGTCCACCTGTTCCCCAGATACCCACAGCACAGGGTGCTGTTGCCACACCACTGGATTCCGGAGAGTTTCCAGCTGGGGTGGCTTGCTCTACAGAGCCCCCAACTTCCAGAACAGCTTTTTCCTCAGGGAGACCAGCTGATGTGCTTGTTGAAAGGGCAGGTGGAATAAATCAAGTGCAAGCCCCAACTTAATGGATCTCAGCTCTGAGAACCTACTGAGGAGGTGTTTTTTCCCAGCCTTGGAGGACCATTGAACAGAGTGCCCTTCACTGGTCTCATGGCTTTTACGTAGCACTAGACACGTTGAGAACATCCTAACAGGAGAATAGACTTGTGGATTCCAACCCACCCATTGAAGACTATCCATGTCTGCCCTGTTTGTTAGATGCTCCGAATTACCACCTGGGAATCTGGATGCTTGAAGATCTCATTTAGTCTGAATTTCTGAGCAAAGGGACCAGGTTCAAGCTTTTCAAGGGAAGTGCGGTTCAGAACACGCCTCTCTTATCCCTGGGTTTTGTGCTTCAATACATGTAGTGGAGAGCATGGTTTCTCGGACCTCAAGCAGAGGTCTCCCGACATCCCCTGCTAACCAACCCTTTTACTGTGAACTTCCCACAACCCCAGAAGGGCAAAGCATTTCATGCCTACCTCCATGATAAATTCCTTTTGTTCCACTTTGTCACTGCCTGAGCATGCCGCTTCCTTCTTGACTCTGCTTCCGCAAGATCAGGTAAAGAGCACCGCGGTGTCTTCATCAGTTTCAGAGTAGCTTTGTCTATATCACATAAAATAAAATAAAATAAAATAAAATAAAAAGACTGCAAGAGGCAAGCTCCTGAGAAGATGTGGTTGGTCTTGGAGATATACACCTCCAATAGTTTATTACACCATGACATTTTTAAGTCAGCTTTCCAGCTGGCTTAAAAATAAAAGAAACATAAAATCCATTTAGAGATGATGTGAACATCAAACCCAAGTCAAAAGCAACATAAAATATGTTGAGAAGTAAAACTCAGAGCATGCCCACCCAAAAGTTAAACACACACGGGTGTGCACACAGATTAGATGATGGAAACTTTTAACACTTTTTTCTGATTTTACGATACTTTTATTGCATTTTATTGTCTGTTTTATGGATTGTTATAAGCTGCCCAGAGAGCTTCAGCCTTGGGGTGCTATGGAAATTAAATTAAGAAGAGGCAGAAAATTGAAAGGGCCAGAATGCTTGAGTAATTTCAAAGCCCTGAACAGCGCCAAGGTACTTCTTCTACGGAGTAGCTCCCCTCTATCCTGACCGTAACTGCTCTGGCCACCAGGGAGCGGGGAAGAAGGCTGGATGCCAATTGGATGCATGAAAGTTCTTGGCCTTGGATTCCTCCCTCCCCAAACTTTTTAGTCCCCCACAAGGCATGTTTCCTGCTCCAGAAGAGGCAGCTGATACTGTTTGTTCCATGCTGGCTGGGAGAGGATGGGATGAAGGATCAGAAAAATCCTTTGCACCTTCTGACAATATGGTGAGGCCATAGGATTGATGCCCAAGGCCATTTATACCTGTGGTCTTTTTCATTAAAAATGATACAAAACGGAATGGAACAGACCGAAACGAAATGGGATGAGACGAGGTGGAATGGGGCGAGGCAAAACGAGATAGACTGAGACGAGACAAGACGAGACGAGACAAAACAAAACAAAAGAAAACAAAACCAGGATCCGTGACTTTGTTAATTTTGCTTTGCTCTCTGCTGCTAGAGCAGCTCTTTGGTGGGAAGGGTCTACAAGGCAGATTTGGGGCACACGTGCTGACTGCTATCTGGAATTTCTTTGGACTAGACTCCTGGCAACCCCTAAAGCCTTCCGTTTTTTGAACCCAGTTGATCCTGGGTTCCCGTATGATCCTGCATGTTTGTGTGTGGAGTTTCATTCACGTGCCACCGTGTGATTTATAGGAATTTGAGGTGCCAGTGCTGAATCCCTCAGTCAAACGATGCAATTTGCTCAAACCAGAAAGGGAGAGATGAAACTGGGGCACGACCATGCCGTGGGGAGCACAGAAGCGCAGCTCCTCTAATTTCCAGTTTGGAGAATCGCCTAAATCTATTTGATGGTCCCCCCTTTGCCCTGCACTGCACGTAATGCAGAGCTGCGACTTGGTGCGCTTTTCGTGCTATTCGTGCCTGTGCTGTCCTCTTGTGATTAGAATTGTGGGGCTGGGCAGAATGGAGGGCCCTCCATAACACCTCTGTCATCCAGCCACCGCTCCAGCTGGGCGACCCCACGCTTGGTGGAGGGAATGTGTAGGAGAAACCCAACTGATTCCTGCAGGGGAGGTGTGGCATCTCTTGGCCAGGGGGCTGAAGGCCACTCTGGAGAAATTCTTGGCCAGTGGTGGGTGGAAGCAGAGGAAAAATGGGGCCTGCAAAACCAGTGCAGGTGAGCCATAAGCTTTCGTGATCAGCCACTAAGCCGCAGGAGAACCCTAAACTTTTTGGAAGGGGGGGGGGGGCGCTGCAAGGGAAAGAAAGAACCCATCAGATGATCCACGCCAGAGGAAGCAGAGATGACTATCAGGGGAACCCAAGAGGGATGGAAAACATCCTTTCGCCATGGGCCTCCCAGGGAGATGCTCACGGGATGGAACATCGCAGTGTTTTAATTACCTGCGCAAGTATGTATGGGGTGGCAGAGCCTGGGGAAAGGGGTGTAGGGTGCAGTGGGTGGGACCAGCCAGGGCGCCCCCATCCTTCCCCTCAGGAACCACAGCCATCGCAAGAGGACTGCGACACGAACATCTGAGAGGGCTGTTACATTAGTTGACACAACACTGAAGCAGAAAACCGGGGCAAAGGCTGAGAGGGGGATTATCTCTTTTCTGCTCCTTAAGTCAAGCCAACATCATTCCCAACATGAAAATGTTAGATGCAACATATAACCATGTCATCAAAAAGCAGCATACAAGAAGGAAGGGAACCAAGGAAAGAGAAAGGAAGACGAAGGGGGCGGGGTGGGGAGGATAGAAAGGAAGGGGAAGCGAGAGAGAGAAAGATGCCCCAGCTGTGCTCAGCAAGCCACTTCTACAGCTTTTCTCGTAGCCTACCTTTTAGAAGCAACAGATTACACGCTCTGTTTTAAATTTAAGTGGCGTGCACTTCCAATTTCAGCAGAAGTGCAGGGCAACCAATAAAAGCCAGCCATCCCTACTTTTTGCTCCCAGGCACCTTGGTGCATCCGATAAGACAGGAAGGAAAAAATAATTACATGCGTTTAATTAAGAGCCAAGGAGGAGAGTCCCAGCAATGTAGTGATATGGGCGGGAGGGGTGGGGTGGGGGGCGGGAGGCAAGAGAAGAGTCCTGGAGAGCTGCAGAAAAGGTCTGCCGCCTGCTGCTCGAAGACTGACTCGCCCTTAGCTGCCAGCGCATCTCCTCGCAGTTGGCAGAGAGAGCGGCCTTTTCAATTAGCGGGTTCTCGCAGAACGTTTGCTAAATGAAAAGACATTTCTGTGTGGCTCTCCATTTTGGGCAAAAGGCAAACAACACGCCTGCCGCCCTGTGCTTTGGAACCCAAGTGGGTGTCAAGCTGCGACAACGGACCGTATGATGGCTTCCGTTTGAGGCTCAGTCTGGACAAGACTGGGGTGGGTGGGTCCTCTGGCTGCACGGAGGGTGTTTCACCCCTTCTGGATGGGGCGGTCCTCCCCTGGAAGGAGCAGGCTCACAGCTTGGGGTGCTCCTTGCACCAACTTCGTTGCTTGAGGCCCACGGAGCCTCGAGGGCTTGTAGCATCTTCTTCCAGCTTTGGCTGGTGGCCCAGCTACACCCCTTCTGGACAGGACTGCTCACACCCCCACCCCTTTTCCTGCACTTCCCAGTAGGAGCAACATCTGAAGTCCCCGTGAAAATGCGACCCCAGGCATGTTGGGACGGAAAGGCCTGCATCTCCCAGTGGGTAGAGAATCGCAGGACAGGCTTCTGCTTAAGCACACCCAGAATCGCACTGCGTGTGCGTGGGAAGTGAGCATCGATCAGCGCTGGATCTTGGAGGCACTCTGGTCCAGCCCCTTGCTCATCAGGAGGGTCCCATGGGATCCAGTCCAGCATCCCGACAGATGCTCTGGGAGGTTCTCAGGCAGGGGACGAAGCGAGTCACCCTGCCGAGCATTTGGGATTCTCAGTTACTCCATCACGGCCCAAAGCTTGTCATCATGGTGTCTTGTGGTCATGAGTTCCATAAACTATGTGTTTTGTTCAGAAGGGTTTCTTGTCAGTATCCTGAAAGAGAGGGGTGTCTGTCTGTCTGTCTGTCTGCTGGGGGGACCTTGCAGGGGGTGGGGGGATACAGTCTGGAGGGGAGGGCCTTCCTTGCAAACCCCACTCTCCACTCGCAACTTTGCAGCTGTTCAGAGACAACATGGGCTCCCTGACCCAGATCTCTTGCTGAATGCCTGGTTTGTTTGTCTGTTCTCTCCCTCTCCGTCTCCCTCTCTTATGAATACAGCAATTACACTTAACCTTGATTATAAGCCTCCAGGGCCAAAGAGAAAAAGAAAAGGAAGATAGCGTGATGGCTAGGAGAAAACAAGCAGGTACGCGGCGATTTATTTATAGGTGGGTGTCAAAGTCTCACCCGAATCCTTAGAATCGCGTGTGTTTCAGCAAGTCTGTTTACCAGTGGGAGTTCACCACCCTCTCTGAATGAAAAAAAAGCTCCTTCTTCTCACCACAAACCACAAGAGTGGAGAAATTCAGCCACAAAAGAAAGGACATTTCCATTCTGCTGAAGGTCAGCTTTGCTAGGGTTGTTTGCAAGGTCCAGGTCCTGCCTTTTCCTTCTTTCTAAAGTAATTAAGAATGGGGCGGGGGAGGAAGCATTTGCTTGCTTTGTGTGATATAGATGGGGGCCAGAAAGGGGGGCGCAGACAAGCCACACTTGGCACCCCCAGCAGCATGCAAGGCTGTGGAAATAATTGCCTGCCTCGGGTTGCCAGCCGTGTGGGGCGACAAAACACCTGAGCCATGTAATTGCTTCCTGGAGACGGCCGTATGGCTCTCGCACGCACACACGCACGCAACCACGCTCTTTGGAGGGAAGCAGCGGGCTTCCAGCGAGCAGCGGCAGAATAAAGGGACCCGGTTTCCGGGCAGAAGCTGCTACTGGGAAAGGTCACTAGCTGACCTGTGGCTCGGTCTGGACCCTGGATGGCTGTGCCAGTCCTAGGAGCAATTCCTCCACTTGTCCTGCTTTCTGACGAGTCTCTGAACATGTGTATACTACGACCCTAAGTGGGTAGGGAGTGCTGAGTGCAGCTTCATGAAATGCATTAAGTTTCTAGTCTCTACGGTGGAGAAAAATTATGCTTAGTTGATTGTTTCAGGAATCTCAAAAAACAGGGGCTGTGGAACGTGTTTTGCAGTGGGGCAGATAGACGTGGGGCCTTTGGCATCCCAGATAACTCCTGGCCTCTTCCCACGAAGGGATCAAGTAGTTATGTAGGACCAGGGCAAACCAGTCACGTTCTGACTTGGCCAGTAAGCTGTACGGAGGAGACAATCCTACACACGCTTCTCTGTTGAGCACACTGGGGCTTACTCCTGCGTAAGGGCACGTGACCTGCAGTCCGTGTGACTGCAGGCAGCCTCACCATTTACAGCCTTTAAGAAACTCAGCACAGGCTGGGGCTCTCCAGACCTCAGTTCCCATCAGCCCCAGCCAGCACAGGCAATGGTCAGGGACGCTGGGCATCGTTGCTGAAGGCTCTAGGTTGGGAAACACACGCCGGCAGGATCAGGTGCTGCATCAGGCCAAAGGGCCACCAACTGCTCCCGCAGTGTCTCTCTGGCTGAACTACACCTTCCTCCTCCATCTGTGACTCCATCATCTAAGCAGAGACCCCGGGGGGGGGGGGGGGGGGGCGCCCGGGGTGCCTTGGCCCCCCCGGCGGCCGCCCGCCTGTGGCACTGCCCCCCCCCCCCCCCGCTTCCCCACACGTCACTCACCTAGAACACCGGTGGCTTCGAGGCCGCCAAACTGCTGCATGGCCGTGATGGCCTTGGTCAGCTCCTCTTGAGTCTGCAGCTGTCCTGTGATGGGATCCGGCGGGGGCAGATAGCCGAATTTCGTCAGCCAATCCTGTTAAGGACAAGTGGGAGAGCGGGGAGAGGTTGAGAGTAATTCAGCACGGCAAAGGGTCTCTCCAGCGGCACCTCGCCCGCCCGCCCGCCCTCCATCGCACCCGGCTTCCCCAGCAAATGGCGTGGCTCTCGTTAACAAATGAATGTGTCGGAACAGATCTCCCTACATTACTTTAAGTAATGGAATCCTCTGACCTTCATGCATCCCGGGCTGACATTTAATTTTCCCAACCAGAGACAGAAACACCTTTGCATACGGTGAGCGCAGAGGCGGCGAGCTCGGGGAGCGCCTCGGCTGGCGGCTTGCAAGCTTGTCATTGGAGGGGGCTTGTCAGGCAGCCGCTCAACCAGCTGGCCCTCAGCGCAGGGGCCACGGAAGGACTCGCACGGAAACGTGGACAGCAGGATAGCGCCGGACAACGAGCGGATAAGCCTGCAGGCATTGCTGTGAGGCCTCAAAGCGCAAGAGGGCCTTGTTGCTTCGGAAGCTTCGATGCTTTGCATGGGAGCGTGAGCAGAGGGGGTGGTCGCCACAAGGCAGAGGGGGGCGCTTGATTGCAGAACGAAAGCTTCATGCAGGAAGAGTTGCGGTGGAGCCGCAGCAGGGGGGAGGCACACACGGGCCAAACGCCAGCTCAGCTGCGGGAATCAGACGCAAAGGGTCCCTGGGATTTGGCCTTGGTTCCCCTTGTGGGCAGCAGGGGGCAGGCAGATGCCCCAGGCAACAGGGCTCAAGGCAAGGGGGAGGCAGCACTGCTGAGGGTCCAGGCAGCAGGGTCAGAGGCAAGGAACAGGCCACGTCAGGATGCAGGGGGGGCAGCAGAACAAGGCCAGGGCATGGCCAGGAGCAAGCTGAGGCCAAGAACCAGAACGGCAGAGCAGGCACCCGGCACCTGGGGCAAGTCACCAGCCCTGCAGCCCTCGGCCGAATCGAAACCCCCTTTGCATGCAATCTGTTCAGCTTTCTGGCACGCGTGTTCTCTTCCCTCCTTGGCAGCCAGCAGTGTGGGGAGGAAGAGGCAGTGGGGGAGAGAAAAGAGGAAGGTGAAACGGAATCGCTCCAGCCACTGGCAACTTATGACCCCAGACAGATTACGTAGGAGGGAAGGTAGCCCTTGACAGAGAGATTGGTTGAGCTACCTTAGAAGATGCTGGATGGGGCTGAAGGGAAGCTACCCCACGGCATGAATCTAGCAACAGCTTTCTGAGTCATTCGCGGCACTGCGGGGCCTGGGGCAGCTCCCCCGCAAATTCCTAGGCTGGAAGCTGCGGATTCGGTTCCTTCCTTTGAAGAACTGGAGTCCTGGCCAGTCGCGTGCTGAATCTTCTGGTGGTGGGAAGGAAGGTTCTTCCCCAGGCCAAGCCAGAGGCTGGCGTATGGAGGGGTGGAACATAAAGCCCCTGGGAGGTCTCTTCTGCTTGCAGCATTGGGCTGTCTCTGGATTGCAGCCCCAACAGCTACCGCAACTAGTCTTTTGGGCGAGAGGCTGCGGGCCGGTTGCTGTGGGTCTTACAGGTAAAGCCAGCTGCTTCCAGAATAAGCGATCCTCAGCCGCCTACCCCAGAAGGAAGATCCCACACCTGTGATAGGATAAGCATGGCGGATCAACGTCGCAGTGATGGGTTTTCCTCCTCCACCGGCGCTGCCACCATCAGCACCTCAGTGCAGTGTTCGGGGCCCGTGTTCCTTTCGCTCGTCCCTGGATTTTCACCCCATGCCTGTCTTCCATCTCCAGAGGAAATGGGGCCCCCGTCCATGACGACTGGCGGGACAACAGCCACTTTCTTCAACGGTGGACGAGATGTATTGAGCTATTGAGCTGCTAAGGGTTGCTACTGAGCCGGGCTTTTAACTTGGTCAATACCCCATTAACTTCTGTCTCGCCAAGATTGATGCCAAACATCCACACTGGAGCGCCTGGCTGCTCCGCAGCTCCATTACACCCCAGAAGGCCTTGGCGTGGCAGAGCAGACCACTCCCAGGTTCACGATGCTGCGTACGAAGCAGGGATGTGGGCACCGGCCGCCTCTCCTTCTTCCCCACCCCTCTCACGGGCAACTTTTGGGCTGCTGTGCCAGATCCGGGAGGAGATGCACAGTCTGTGAGAGTCCGCAGACGTCCCTTCTGCTCGGCTTGCTTTGGAGGACTGGGCTGCCCCGAAGAGGAAGCCTGAGCGTGCTTGGAGGGCCGGATTCTGAATGGGTCGCTCCCGACCCCACCGGCAGAGGCCACGGCCGTCCTGCCCCCTGGCTCTCCTGCTTGCCAAGGAGCAAGCCGTGGGCGACGATGCGCAAGAGGAGCGGCTGGTGGCGGTGAGGGCGAGAAGGCGCGCAGAGTGGACCTGCGCTTAGAGGTGCAGGAGCAGCCCATGCAAGCGGCCTTTGCCTCTGCTGTGTCTCACACCCTGCAATCCTCTGAAGGCCATTTTTGTCCACCTAGACTTCGCACTGGGATCCTCGGGCTGGGGCTCCGAGGATCCTATGGTCTCCCAGTTGAAATCTGTGGGCGCGGGATTGCACTCTCAGTGAGGGAGGGGCTCCATCGATAGTGTTTTGGCCAGGAGCCTTCAAAAGCCCGCAACTGACAAGGCACCCATTCATACATCACTGCTTCCACTGGGCCCCAGGATTCATGCAGTGAGCCTCATGGCCCAGGGAAGAACAGCAGCCAGACCTCCCACAGGTCCCAGTTTGACTGCCACCTCACTGTTGGGCTTTATAGAGCAGCACCAGCACCTCAAACTGGAAGTCCACCAGCAGCAAAGGCAGTTAACCACAGCAAGAATGCCGCAAACATCTTAATCTCCTGGAATGCAGCACAACAGCCTCACGAGGTGGGACAGACTGACATTAAGCACCTGTATCACCTGCAAGGAAAGCCAAGCACATCTCAGTAGTCAGTTCTGGGAGTGGGTGCAACGGCCTGGACCTCCGCAGCCCACACCCCACCCTCCCAACAGCCTTACAGAGAGAGCTTGACCTTACGAAAAACACGATCCTCCAGTTCCTGTGGATTTGGACCCAGGTCCGCCCCTCCATCCAAATCGACTGCTCCGTATCCATTCCACAAGGCTGCCCAGCTCCAAAGTTTCCCAAGTTTTACGCACACTCGAGCGCAACGCAGTCTCGTTTTCACAGCGTCTGCAGAATATTTGACATGCACGATGCCGCATCTCCAGTTCTGAACGCTCCCCCACTCAACAGCAACTTTTAAATAATGACAGCAATAATAATAATAATAAAAATCAGATGTACCAGCTTTACTGCTGAATGCTAAAGAGTTTACAACCCCCCTCCCCGCCCTTCTGCCATTGTTTAGATGTTCAGCAAAAAGAAGAAAGAAGTTAGAAGTGCTGGGATGGCAAAAATGCTCGAGACGTTTTCTCTTCTCCCTGAAACTTTGCTTCATGTCACTTCCCCTTGTAAACACAGCTGGGGCAAGAGCCCGCCATGTCCTTTGCTGCTGAGCAGAGAGCTGCTTTAGATGGAAAATGTATCTTCTGGGCGAGATACTGATGGCATCTGCAGCTTTTTTGCTCAAAAGCTCCCCTACCCCAAAGTTTTCCTCTGTCGCTCCAGAGGGTGAGAATGGCCACCAGCTGTTCTCTCTGCACAGTTTGCTCCTGTTTGTGAAGCTGGTTGTCTCACACCTTCCCTGAGCCCCTATGTGTGCGTGGTGGAATCTGTGGGGCAGAGGAGAAGGGCAGGTATTTTTAACTGAAGTAGAAACTAGGATTACCCATACCCCATGCATGTAGTTTAGGTCAAATGCAATCCCGTAAAGCTTGCGTCTGGCATCAGCATAACCAACCCACTTTTTCCTGACAAGGAACCAAACACTGCTCACAGAGTTCTCCCCACCTCTCCATTTTATGTTCAGAACAACCCTGCAGGGGAGGCTAGGCTGAGAGCCAGGGACTGGAAGGCAGACCAACATCCTAACAAAGATTCTCATGCTGGCCCACCGGCTAGTCTGGTCCTCGCTTTCAAATCCAAACAACCTGACAGCATCCTCACAAATAAAAACAGGAACTTTGGCTCGGGATTCCAAATGGCTGCATAATTTCTCTCCCCACTGTTGCTTATTTAAAGGTGAAGGGTTCACAGGATGCCCCCCCACCCACACACACACAAATAGTTCTCATGGAATTACAATGTCTGTAGTGCTGATGGTTCATCACTAATATTGTTTACTTCCATTTTTTCTTTTTCTTTTGAAAAAAGAACCTTTCCTTTCTGCATGCAGTTTAATAAAATGCTTTGATAGTAGTGAGCTCAGTACGTTGTCATTTTTTTTTTTCATTCTAGAAGGCAGAATCATCGAAGTAAATGTAGTAATTTTCAAATTGCTCAGCTTAATGTGTTTTTCTTCTTGGTTCCCCTGCTGCTTCTGGTGACCAAAATATATTATTGAAAAAGATGTTTGAAAGGGAAAGGCTTTCAACCTTCAAAAACTGAAGTTAAAAGTGACCCCCAAAAGAACGATTCCTACTCCGCAGTTGTTTTACTAACCAAAGGCAAGTGTTTTTTAACCCTGCTGAAATTTATTTTCCACATTTCTATACCACCCAATAGCTGGAGCTCTTTGGGTGGTTGACAAAAATGCAAGCCATAAAATAGCACATGATAAAATGGAATATAGACTTTAAATGTTTAAAGTGACAGTATGAATTAAAAATATCCAAATAACCAAATAAAACCTAGCAGCAGTGTAAAGGTTTAAAATAAAGATCTAAAGCAGAAACGGAAAGATTAAAATGCCTGGGAAAATAATGCTGCTTTGGGCCAGTGGAAATTCTGGGATGGTTTTCAAGGCAGCTCCGTCTAGGGCACACTGCAGCAATCCAGACCAGTGGATACAGAGCAGGAGAAGGGAAGCTACACTCCCTCTGTCCCACTAAGGGTGATGTTAATCAGTCTGCACCGATAAGACGAGCGTCGCCAAATCCACCTGGGATGCCGCTGGCTCCAGGTGCACCCCCAAACTACAAACCCGGT